CTCTGTTATTCTAATATTCTGTTAGGATTACTACTGTTTTAAACTTTTGAAGTAGTCTCTCTTTTATTTCATTTTATTCTTTTGTGTTTTATACCCTGGAATAAAGGGCAAGTTATATAGTAGTAATAAACATTATTCAATTCAAAAGAAAAAAAAACAATTCTGAACAAGTAAAAAAAAACATAGCAATAATTATAAAAGTGGTGCAATTAATGCATGATCTACTTTACAAGTAGCAAATCAATATTAGCTACATTCAGAGAAATTAAATTACAATTACAATGAATTGAAATTGATTTATTGTTGGAGAAATATTAGCTGTAGCTTTCTCCTAAGGCCACTATAATACAAGATGGGTTAATTTTCAGGAACTCTTTCATTACAGGGACAATCATCTTTGTTCATACGGCATATCCCCTAATTTCCTCTCAAAACAGCTGTTGGGAGGGAAGGCTTTAAATCTCAGCAAGGTTAAGATTGTCCTGAATTTGGAAATTGTTGCGTGGCTTAGATACTTGGTTGGCTTGCAAAAAATTCAATGCCTGCCAAATAGCATATCTTTGGATATGGCTACCATAAGTTGTAAACAGTTAACTGAGTAATACAGTGGCACTCATTGTTAATTAGTTCCTGGAGAATATGATGGGTATCAAAAGTGATGAGTACCAAACAAATTTTCCCCATAAGGAATAGTGTAATGAGTCACAAGGCAGCTGACACCGGCAAGTTCTAGTTTGTGCCAAACAAACGATGAGTTCCAGAACAAAATTTTCATGTCAGAGTGAGCTGAGGACCAAATCTGATGGATTTCAAAGTAGCCGAGTGCCAAGGTACCAGTCTAAAGGAATTGTAACCTCTTGTTTTTATTTTAGTTCTTTGTTATTGGCTCATTTGTTATGACAGTATTTAATTGAGTCACGTGGATGAGATGGGTGGCTAGATTGATTGATTGATTGAGAATGAATGAATGAATGAATGAATGGGCTGGCTCTACCTTTGTTTGGGCGATGGGACAGATAGCTCAGAGTCCTTCTATTGTTAAAGAACATCTCAGATCTCCTTGGCTGCCTGGGTTCATGCTGGCCCTTGAGCTCCCATGGAGTTTATCTGTGGGGTGATCCACGTGGGTTGTGAATAGATTTCTCAGGATTAGAAGTGAGTGGGGACAAACCTTTTCTTCCCCCCTCCTCCCATTTCTTTCCTCCCACCTTTTCCTTCTTTCTTTCTGCTGCTGACCCACTGGCCAGTAGCCAGGCAGGACTGGGGTGTGTGTGTGGATTCTGTGCTTTTCAGAAATTAATGGCTGGGATTCCATTGTCTCTTCCCGTGTTTTTCTAAGCTCCCCCATTCTACACAGTGATGGTGGCAGCATTTGCAAATGAAAGCCGTGGTGGTGGTGGCAGCATTTGCAAACAAAAGCCATGCCTACTTGGAACTTATCAGTGTTAAACAAATATAAAGGGCTGGCAGAGCCTTCTACTGACCACATGAACTCAATCGTGCAGTTTCTTGGCAAATGCTTTAATAAGTGCTTAGTCATTGCAAGTAGCTCCTCGACTTACGGCCACGATGGAGCCCAACATTTCTGTTTCAGCTAAGTGAGACATTTGCCCCATTTTGCCCCGTTTGTTAAGTGAATCACAGCAGTTGTTAAGTTAGTAACACAGTTGTTAAGTGAACCTGCCTCCCCCCACTGACTTTGCTTGTCAGACGGTCTCAAAGCACAATCACATGAGCCCAGGACACTGCGACCGTCATAAATACCAGCCAGTTGCCTCTGAATTGTGATCCGGTGAACATGAGGAGGCCACAAAGGTTGTAAGGGTGAAAAAATGATCCTAAGTCACTTTTTCAGTGCCGTTGTAACTTTGAACAGCCAATAAACACACCTTTGCAAGTCGAGAACTACCTGTATTTTCTTTCAGAATATTTTTTGTCTTCATAATCTATGAATTTGCGGTCCTGGAATTTCCTGGTAGTTTTCCATCCAGGCACTAATCAGGCTCACGCCTGCTTTTAACCCTCAAGACCACCAAATGAGCAGATTTGTTAGCCTCAGTTACCTGTGCTGAGACTAACCTACGTTAGTTTAATAAGTTAACTTGAGAACCGCAGGAGTTGAACAAGGCAGGCAAATCTGTGAATGGCTGCTAACCTTAGTCCTTTTTCTTCTCAGTAGCCTCGGAGGAAATTTATTTCATTTGGTTTCCAAATTTTAGAGGTTGCTCAACTCCACACAACTCTGGGTGCTCACAGTTCTAAAAGAGGACAACGGTGAAATGGGAAAACCTGATCATATGCATCCAGAAGGAAATCACACGTTAGTAAACAAAATGTCCCACGGTGGCCTGACAATTATTGTACTCCAGACCTGGGAAAAAAGCCAAGTTTATACGGCTTTTCAAATATTAGGATAGAAGCCAAACAAATCCAGAGGGCAGAGATTGCAACAGAGAAAGCACACTTCCTATGTCCAGATAGGTAACATTGCTTAGTGTTTAATCTTAAAAATAGTTGCCTTCAAAAGCAAAGGAAGCTGAATTCTTTGATAAATCTGCTGATCATAACTATACAATGTATACCTTGTTGTGATAATCTGGGAAACTATAGCTTAGAGTGCTTTTTTCAATACAATAAATAATTATGGCTTGCGTTAGAATACATTTTGGAAGGTTTTAGGGAACATTTTGAGCCTGCATGTTGTCTCTCTAACTCAGGATTTCAGAAGCTCAGCCACTTTAAGCTCTGTGCATTGCAGCTCCCAGAATTCCCTAGCCCAGTTGGAATCTACTACAGCTTAAAGTGATTGAGATTGGAAAACACCTTTAAATAGAATAGAATAGAATAGAATAGAATAGAACAGAGTAGAGTAGAGTAGAGTAGAGCAGAGCAGAGCAGAGCAGAGCAGAGCAGAGCAGAGCAGAATAGAACAGAGCAGAGCAGAGCAGAGCAGAATAGAATAGAATAGAATAGAATAGAGCAGAGCAGAGCAGAGCAGAGCAGAGCAGAGCAGAACAGAACAGAACAGAACAACAGAACAGAACAGAACAGAACAGAATAGAATAGAATAGAATAGAATAGAATAAGGAATGGAATGGAATGGAATGGAACAGAATGGAAACTAATCAAGGCGAGAAGCAACCTAGAACTAAGGAGAAACTTCCTGACAGTTAGAACAATTAACCAGTGGAACAACCTGCCTCCAGAAGTGGTGAATGCTCCAACACTGGAAGTTTTTAAGAAGAGACTGGACAGCCATCTGTCCGAAATGGTGTAGGGTTTCCTGCCTGAGCAGGGGGTTGGACTCGATGACCTCCAAGGTCCCTTCCAACTTTATTATTATTATTATAGAACGGAACACAACAGAACAGAACACAATACAATACAATACAATACAATACAATACAATACAATACAATGGAGTAGAATAAAAACTTTATTGTTACTTTCAATGTATACTACTCGGCATGCATTAAAATGAAATTACATTACATTCAGCTCTCAAAAAAAAAAAAACCCCCAACCATTAAGCACATACCCGCATACACATAGACTGTTCTTTCCAAATCTTTTCATTGGCCCAAGATAGATGAGTTATGCAGATGCAGGTTACCTGTAAGAAAGATCACAAATATAGGTAACCTTCGACTTACAACAGTTCATTTAGTGACCAAAAGGCACTGAAAAAAAGGGACGTATGGCCATTTTTCACACTTACAACCATTGCAGCATCCCTGGGGTCACGTGACCAAAATTCAGACCCTTGGAAACTGACTCCATGTTACTGACTTAAGAATGGCAGTGATCCACCTAACAACTGTGGCAAGGAAAGTTGTAAAATGGGGTAAAATTCACTTAACAAATGTGCCATTTAGCAATTGGACTTTTGGGCTCAATTGTGGTGATACGTCTATCTGCACCTCATCAATGAACAATTGCAATGTGCGAAACATTGTTGTATGAACTGCTGCGACATTCCTTTCTAATCGGATTCTGGTGAGGATCCCAAACAGCTTGAGATTCTCATTAGGATGTCTAGTATTTGGTGTTAAAATGCTGGCAGAGCTACTCTTTGCATATTATCAGCACATGAACCTTCTTATCAGCTAAATGGTGGCCTTCAGCTAGCCGTAATTACCTTTCAAAAGATAAGGGTAGTCAACAGACCTTGTATGGGAGGCCACAAGAGAGCCCAGATCTGTAAACTAATTGGGAAGTTGAAAGGAGCATTTTGGAAGAAGACAATGGAAATGTACTTCCATATCATGCCAAGAAAACTGCATGGATATATCCACATTCAGCAGGAGCTGAGGCTAGCTAATCTAAGGGAAACTTGACTGCTTTTTTATTTGGGCCACATAGAACAACTGGGGATTGAGTTCAGCATTTTGAATGAATGAATGAATGAATGAATGAGCGAGCAAGAAGCAAGCAAGCAAGCCTTGTTTCCTAAAGAGTAAAACTGAGTTCACACTTGCATAATCTTATATTTCTATAAGGTTATCAAATCCGCAGATGGTAATTGGGAGTTGGAATCTACAAATTGGGACATCATGTTTAAGTGGGGCTGGGTTTGAAGGCATCCATGTGTGAGGATTTGTTTTGTTTTTCTAAAATGCGATAAGCCTATTGTACTTTTTCAACTATAGCATAGTTTTTTGTTTTGTTTTGTTTTCCACCGCCAAATGATAGTGTTGTTTGTTTTTAGCAACTGTGGTCAGAAGAGCTTTGAAAAGCTGCAAAAAAGAGGATCTGGGGACCACCAGTGGCTCACCCCAGCCTGAAACTTCATTGATGTCTCACTTAGCAATGGAAATGTTGGGCTTAATCGTGGTCTTAAGTGGAGAACTACCTGTACACTATATTTACATCTGGAAGGCATCTCTACAGCTGTAGCATAGGAACCACAACCATTTGGCAACAGCAGCTTTTGTTTATGCTGTCTTCTCAGAGAGGCACAGACTAAAATTATCCCCGATTTCTCTTGTCTTTGTTTCCAGCATGAAGTCACCCTGACAAGACTTCCTCAAATACAGAATCCAATGGTCACTGCCCCCACGATACCAGATGATGACACCAACAACTTCTACACTGTTTACAGCAACCGCAAGTGCCAGAAATGCCCACCAGGTATCACGTTATTGGCTCAACCTGATCCTTCTTAGTAAGACCTGGACATGTGTATGACTTGCCCCTTTTTTTGAGAAGGATAACTTGGACCGTTCTTTCTTGCTGACCCCGTGGGACAATCATTTTCGAAAGACCATTTCTGAATAGTTATTTTTTGCATCATTGTTCCTCGTTCCGAGAAATGTGCATGAGCAGAAGCAAGGGAGGGTTGGATGACCAGGCTGGAAGCAGTGACAAATCTGCACAGGAAATGACCCGTTCCAAGAACTGTGCTTAGAAGCCATTGGAAGTTGTAGATAACAGCAGAAGCCTACTTTGAAAATAATAATAATAATAATAAAAATCACATTGCATTAGTCATTTCCCCAGAAATTCCATACAGAATTCATGACACAGTAAGAATTTGAAAAAGGAAAGCCAGATGGGAAAAAGAGGGGCTTTGAAAAGTTAAGTGAGTATTCCAGGACACCTAGTTAGCATGGCCATAAAGGAGAAAGTTGGAAATTATAACTTGGCACAACTTTCTGGATAACCACCACTTTTCTTCTAGGAAACTGGACAAAAAAAATATTGCTGTGGTGTTCATTTTATTGTGGCTAAGAAGATGATTCAGAGGGATTAGAAGCACATCCTGCTGTTCCAAAAAAAAGCGTGTTTTCCCCCCTCCTTCCCAAATAATAGGCCCACGCTGCTTCTGATGGACTTCCACTGGCTATTCCCCTTAATATTACATTTTTCTGAGCACAACTACAATGTATGCTTCTGCTTAAAAAGGCAGATTCCCAAGTGGTTGACACACTTATATTTCTGACATAATAATGTTGTTAGTTGTGAAGTCATGTCCGACCCATTGCGACCCCATGGACAACGTTCCTCCAGGCCTTCCTGTCCTCTACCATCTTCTGGAGTCCATTTAAGCTCACACCTACTGCTTCAGTGACTCCATCCAGCTGCCTCATTCTCCGTCGTCCCTTTCTTCTATTGCCCTCCATCTTTCCCAGCCTCAGACTCTTCTCCCGTGAGTCCTTCCTTCTCATTAGGTGGCCAAAGTATTTAAGTTTCAACTTCAGGATCTGGCCTTCTAAAGAGCAGTCAGGGTTGATCTCCTCTAGGACTGACCACCTTACAGTCCAGGGGACTCGCAGGAATCTTCTCCAGCACCATAGTTCAAAGGCCTCAATTCATAATACTACTGAGACACTTCTGCGCTGTGCAAGACGGTATTTGTTTTTTTTAATTTAATTTACATCACTGCCCGTCAGAACTGCCACCTCACACCGGTGATCCTGCTATCACCAATGTGCCATGGACCCTGGGGGGAGGGGGGAAGGAAGGGGGAAGGTGTGGGGGGAAATGAAAGTAATGGAAGTCGCTCCGCTGTGAGAAGAATGCTGCTGCAAGCCGGCCTACACAGCCAGAGTGACCATTTTCAAAAAACATCTTCTTTGAAATTGATTGGATGATTGGGGGGGGAGGGAGGAAGGGGAACCAGCAATGGGAAGTGCCTAAGAGGATTGTGCCTACTTGGGATTTTGGCACGTGAATTTCAGTTCTGGCTTGGCTTTGCTGTATTTCACTTGACCTTTAGTAAACGATACCTTTCCCCACAAATGGAGTCAAGGATCGTTCTTGCTTAAAGGTTCAAGTTGGGACAGGACTGATACTGCCCATCTCTCATACATGTCTCAGGGTGGCTCACAAGTTAAAGCAACAAAAACCAAGCTACTCTCAACAAAATTAAAAACAATTCGAACAGTGAAAACAAATAACCAAAGCCATCAAAAAATAAAAAAATCACACGGGAGTGCCAACCTAAAACTCACAAACAATAAGCCATCTTGCAGGATCCCTACTTCTAGGGCAGGGGTAGGCAACCTTGGCTCTTTTATGACTCGTGGACTTCAACTCCCAGAATTCCTGAGCCAGCACAGCTGGCTCAGGAATTCTGGGATGTGAAGTCCACATGTCATAAAAGAGCCAAGGTTGCCTACCCCTGTTCTAGGAGATCCCCAGGCCTGATGGCACAGCCATGTGTTCAGGGACTTCTTAAAGGCCAACAGGGTTGGGCCAATCTGACTTCAGGGTGGATGATCTACCAAAGTCTGGGCGCCTTAGCGGGATAGATTCTGCTCCTGGGTCCCATCAGTGGGAACCCCTTTAAACAGAGAACTCGCAACATACTTGTTCTGCCAGATTTGATGGGATGGGTAGATACAACAGGGGAGAGAGAGCAGTGCTAACTGCTTTCTATAGCTGTGTAGTAGATTTATTTTCTGCCTTTATTTGGTGCAACCTGGACATCCATTGTATGGCTAGATCCGCAGTTCCTAGAGAATTCTTGTCTTTTAATACAGGGGTTCTCAAACCCTGGTCTGAGGACCGGCCCCGGTCCGCAGCCTGTTGGGAACTGGGCCGTGCAAGCAGCGGGCGAATGCGTGAAGTTCCATTTGCACATGCGCAGGATTAGGTTGTGCACACACAACCATCCTCTCCCCACTGCCGCCGCCACTGCTGCCACTGCTACCACTGCTGGTCCACCAAGCCGGAAAAGTTGGGAAACCTCTATTTTTAATATATACTTTTAATGTGTACTTATTTTTTACGTCTTTTTTTTTCTTCCAGGCACGTTCGTCTTTCAGCCTTGTGCTATCCCCAGAAGTAGAGGGACTTGCCGGCCCTGTGAAAACAACACCTTTTCCAAGCTGCCGAATTCCTTCAAGGCCTGTTTTAGTTGCAGAGCCTGCAGGAGTTTAGGTAATTAAGGATGGAGACCATTTTTTTTTTTTGGAAGAACTTTTTTATTTTTTCCAACTCTCCCCCATACCTATCAGCAAATATACAGCAGATATTTATCACGTGTTAACAGATATTCTTTTTACATTCTTATCTATCAGATACTCTTAATAAAATAAAGTAAATACATACACATAAATTTTGGTGTTGCTCGCCCATTTGCCCTTTCACTGTATCCACACTCCTACTCTTTCTTGTCTACCTCCTTTCTCTCTTTCTTCTCTTTCTTCCCTACTTCCCTCTTCTTCCTCTCCTCTCCTCTCCTCTCTCCTTCACCACTCCCCTTTCTCCCCACTTCTCCTCCTCTTCTCCTCCAACCTTCCTACTTCCTTCCTTCCTCCTTTACTCTCTCCTCTCTCCTCTCCTTTCTTCCCTCTCCTCCCTCTTCCGGTACAATTCAGGGGTAATGACCTCCTCTCTCTAAATTTCCCCATCTATATTATATATAATAAGATTGATTTTCTATTACGTTAATACTTCTATTTAGCTGACCTTCTCGGCATATACTTCTATAAATATATATACGACCTCTGGTTATTCAATACTGTGTCGCCTGAGTCTCCCTCCTTATCTTGGATGGAGTCAATTTTATTTACTTAGTTCGTTAGATTTTTATCCTGCTTTATTACCTTATAGGTAACTCAAGGCAGCAAACATGCATAATACTCTCCCCTCTTTTTTTTTTCTTTTTTTTCTTTCCCCCTATAACAACAATCTTCTGAGGTGGGCTGGGCTGAGAGAGTGATTGACTGGCCCAAAGACACTCAAATGGGTTTTCGTGCCTGAGACTAGAACTCACTGTCTCCCGGTGATTGGTCAAAGTCAGCTAGCTAGCTTTCATGGCTAAGGCGGGGCTAGAACTCACCATCTCCCAGTTTCTAGTCTCGTGTCATAACGACTGGACGAAACTGGCTCTTATCTTATATTTGAAATGATATTTTAAACAATCAAAAGTCATCGATGCAATGAATTGAAGAAATGAAATGAAACCTGAGCCCAATGCCTTTTATGGAAAGGTTCCACCCACTGCATCCCAAGAAGTCGCTCACAGGTTATACTAAGTTGAAATGAAACATATTTGCTTTTGGTAATTCAAACATCTGGGCTTTTCTCCAGAAATCCTGGTTAAGGGTCTCTTGGGCTAACATTGCCATGCGGTCTTAGTTTAAGTCTTCATTGCTGCTCAGAACTGCTATAATTCTAAATTTGTGATTGATTCTCTTTCCAGATGAGGTAGAAGTCAAAAGGTGTACTGCAACCACAGATACTGAGTGTGCTTGCAAGAATGGTACCTTCTGCTTGCCTGACCATGCCTGTGAAACTTGCAGTAAATGTACGACAAGGTCAGCATTAATCGACACCGCTTAATATGCTTTGGAATTAACTTGGCATTCTCTACTCTGACATGAAAAAAAAAATGGAAGAGGAGAATATGCCCAAAATGAAGTTCACAGATCTTAGAGAAGGGAAGAGCAAGCTAGAGGGGAAAAAAAAAAAACAGGTTCTGCTAGCAGCACCCTCAAATTTCCAAGCTTTGGGCCATCCCCGAGGATGCATTCATAAAGGAATACAGAATAACCAAATTGGAAGAGACCTTGAAGGTCTTCTAGTCCAACCACATGCTCAAGCAGGAGACCCTATATCATTCTAGACAAGGGACTGTCCAGTCTCTTCTTGAAAACCTCCAGTGAGGGAGCATTCAGAATTTCTAGAGGCAAGCAGTTCCACTGGTTAATTTTTCTCTTAAGGAACTTTCTCCTTAAGTCTGGATTGGATTTCTCCTTGATGAGCTTCCATCCAATTCCATCCAGGGCCCTCAGGTGCTTTGGAGAATAAGTTGACCTTCTCTTCTCTGTGGACAGCCCCTCAAATATTGGAAGACTGCTGTCTTTTTTTTTTTTTTATTAAAAGTTTTATAAATTTTACAAGAAGAACAAGAACAATACAGAACAAAAAACAACATATACAAAAGAAAAAAAAATTAAACAATACATATAAAAAAAAACCCCCACCCCACACCCCTCCCAAAAACCCTCCCTTCCCCCCCCCTGAGCTTCCCAGAGCAGAATATAGGCTTAAGAAATAATAAGAAAAAAATAAAAATTAAATTAAAAACTTTATATTTATATATATAAAAAAGATATCTATAATATATATAAAAATAAAACTTATGAAAAAGCTATATGATATTTTTGTATACCCAATCTAAATTGTATAAATTTTATCCATTTGTCCCAGATAGCAAAAAACTTCTCTTGCGTTTGTTGCTTTAAGAAAGCCGAAATCTTTGCCATTTCCGCCAGATAAGCTACTTTAAAAAACCATTCCTGCAATGTAGGCAAAGATTCCTTCTTCCAATATTGTCCAACTAACAGCCTCGCGGCTGTGATCAAATTTAACATCAATACAACCTCCTTTGTATCACAATCTGTAACAATACCTAACAAAAATAATTGCGGAGTAAATTTTACCCTCCTTCTAAAAATTCTCTGGATATTCCACCATATTTTGATCCAAAATGCTTTTATCTCTCTGCATGACCACCAAATATGATAATAGGAAGCCTCCTTATAACCACATCTCCAGCATTTAGGTTGCACGTCAGGGTACATGTAAGACATTTTTTGTGGATCAAGGTGCCATCTATAAAACATTTTATAAAAATTCTCCCTTAAATTCTGTGCTTGAGTAAATTTGACATTTCTCACCCAAATAGTTTCCCAGGTGTCCAATGAAACTGGCTCACCAAAGTTCTGCGCCCATCTAATCATACAATCTTTAATTAGTTCCGTTTCTGAGTCCAATTCAACTAAAACCCCATAAATTCTCTTAATGTGGGTTTGTCTTTGATCCTTCAGTTGCTTAATAAGATTTTCATCTTCTCTAAGAAAACCCACCTTACAATCCATCTTCCATCTATCTAGTAGTTGCCTATATTGGAACCAAGAATAAATAAAATTTTCTTGTGCTAATTCTTCCCGTGATTTTAATTGCCAGTTTTGTCCATCCCATTTAAGTAACTGTCTATAAGACACCATATCCATTTTAACCCCTCTTTTTATTCCTTCTATCGCATGCCAAGGTATAGCCCATAATGGTACTTTAAAATCACTTTTATAATATTTTCTCCAGATCCTAAGTAAAGAAATTCTTAAAATATGAGATTTAAAAGCCCAATCTATTTTTTTATTAAATATTAAATAGGCATGCCACCCATAAAGTAAATCCCATCCCTCTAGATAAAGTATCTCAGAATTTGTCAAATTTACCCAGTCACTAATTAATGTTAAAACCACCGCATCATAATATAATTTCAAATTTGGTACCTTGAGTCCACCCCTCTCACGGAAGTCTTGCATAATTTTGAACTTAACCCTTGGTTTTTTCCCTGCCCAAATAAATTTATTGAGACCCTTCTGCCACTCATTTAAATTAATCTCATTTTTCAAAAGACTGCTGTCTTGTCAGCCCTGGTCCTTCTCTTCGCTTGAAGCTATGTTCACCTCTTCCCGAAGCCACAGTTTGAAGCATAAAAGCACCACACCCGGGTAGAGACTTGGCTCAACTGTTTTGAGTGACCAGTTGAGAATAAGCTTAGTTTGGATGACCATCCCAGCATAAGTAAGATCTGTACCCACCCTAGATCAGTGTGAAGGTGCCTCAGGCACCTACACTGAGCTATTAAGATTTTGAGTGATAGTTTGTGAAGCAGTGATTTTGCACAGATTTGCATCTGGAGATATTGCAGTCTTGTTGGCAGCTTCTTGAATACGTAACTTCTACAGGGTGGTGAAATTGGCTTGTCCATCACCAGATGCCAGTTTCCTGTTGGCAGTCTCCCACAGTAGCATAATGGAAGGTATATCTGAAAAGAACAATTCCAGCAACTGCCACAGTACAATCCAGCTCTTATGACACCACAGCAGGTCTCATCTGCTTACTTGAGTGCTTTATTTTGTTGATGTATGTATATTCCTACGATATATCTTGGAAATGTTCTGGATTGCCAAGGAACCTAGAATCTTAGGATAGGTTAGCAGCAGTTGGCTGCTGCTTCTAGTGGTTCAGCTTTCAGTGATTCCAATTGAGGCTTGTTTCAGTTTGAGTGTTGACCAACTCCTTCAGCGTCAGTTTTCTTTTTGTGTCCGTAGCTGTGATCCTGGAGAAAAGAAGGTGCAGGATTGCACTCCTACAAGTGACATCAAGTGTGTTCCTGATACTACCTCATCACCTCCAACAAGTAAGATGCTTGCATCCTGGTAGACCAGTATCAGTGAATGTGAGACTATGGTGCTAGTCCTACGATGAATTTTCATACAGAACAAGAAGGAAATGTAACAAAATATGGCAATGATGACAGCTCTTGATTAGAATACTTGATTATTTGATTCCTGTTGTCCTCTGACCTTTGAACCTGCAACCGTCCCTTCTCTGGAAGAGAACCAGCAGTCTGTATCTGCTATGCAGGGACAGTTCTTTGGAAGTTGCTATCATATTAGATCAGGGGTCTTCAAATCTGGCCCTTTTATGACTTGTGGACTTCAACTCCCACAATTCCTCAGCCAGCGTGCCTGACTGAGGAATTCTGGGAGTTGAAGTCCACAAGTCATAAAAGGGCCAGGTTTGAAGACCCCTGTATTAGATTTTGTTTGTTAAAGAGGGGGATAAGGGGAATTTAGATTAAATAGAAAAAGGAGATTTATATACTTAGGTATTTTGGTTGATTTCTACTGGACCTTTGCGGACTCCTAAGGAGAGTTGAAGATTTAGAGATGAGTTGTAGAAAATGGGGTGAGTTGTGGAATGAAGATGCATCTGATTGTGTTTTAAGAGGGGGTGATATGTTGTTAACGGTGGGGTCCTTGGTGCTCTCTAAGCTTGGTTTTTTTCTTGCAGACATTTCATTGCCAAACTAGGTAAAATCATCAGTGCTAGCAGGGAGCAGATGTTTGCTCTCATTTTATATGCTAGTGCAGGGGTGGGGGACCTTGGCTCTTTTGGATTTGTGGACTTCAACTCCCAGAATTCCCAAGCCAGCATGAGGGAAACTTTGGCCCCTTTATGACTCGTAGACTTCAACTCCCAGAATTCCCAAGCCAGCATGAGGGAAACTTTGGCCCCTTCATGACTCGTGAACTTCAACTCCCAGAATTCCTGAACCAGCATGAGGGAAACTTTGGCCCCTTCATGACTCGTGGGCTTCAACTCCCAGAATTCCTGAGCCAGCATGCTGGGAGTTGAAGTCCACAAGTCATAAAACAGCCAAGATCCCCCACCTTTGTGGCTTGCTTGTAAGTGTTGGTCTGAATGGGCTTGGTGGCTCCTTGATTGGCTGTTGTTTACTGTTAGATTGTTTGTCTTGAATGGTTGTTCCTTGATCGGGGTATTGTTTACTTCTTGGTTGTCAGTCTTCTTGGGTTAATCTTGGTGTTAATCTCTGCTTTAGACCAATCAAGCAAACAGTGCCCCAATCAAGGAACTTCCAAACAACCTCACAGTAAAATACAGCTCAATCAAAGAATCACCAAAACTACTTTAGTCTCTAGAACGGGCTTTTATCAGTTTCTGATCAGATGAGGCTGATTCCAGAACAGGGTTTGTAGATTAAACTCATTACATCAAATTTTATTTCAAGCCTCTTAGAAGCCAGCATAGGACCCAGTTTGAAGAAGCATTGCCATTCAAATGATCAGTCTATACCAGGGGTGTCAAACTACTGGCCCATGGTCCGGATGCGTCATGCTGGAACTGCACCCACCCCATTGCCGGCAATGGGAAAAAAGTCGCGATATGTCGCAACACATCACGCGGCATTGTGAGTTTGACACCCTTGGTCTATACCTACCTTTTTTCTTTTCCTTTCATTTTAAGGTTCCCCTGGAGTAGGAGATCATAAATGGATCTGGCTCATTGTGGCCAGTCTGGCTCTGGGGCTCTTTGCAGTGTTGGGCCTGGTATGGTGTTGGAAAAAAAACACAAGCTTTAGAAACGGTAAGAATAATATTTCTGTTTTCACTGAGACTCAAAATGCTTAAGACATGTGGCATAGCCCTTGGTATGATAATGTAATAAGCAAAGAACCTTTTATCATGAGAAAACAAAGAAGGGAGCCTCAACTGCATTCAGAAATTATAGAGTCTAGAATTCTGCCATCCTTCTCTGCATAATGCAGTGTTTCTCAACCTTGGGAATGTGAAGAATCATGGACTTCAAGTCCCAGAATTCTGGAGAAAAGATGGACAGAATTGATCTGGGGGGGGGGCGGTCAGCTTTACTTGACTGCGTTCTTACGTGCTGGTTTCATTTACTCATTTTGGAGTGTAGAAATCCTTTTGCAAGATTGAGTCAAATATCTCTTTAGTATGACTTTGCATTATTGTAATAACTCAACTCCCTCAACATCTTCACGTAGATGGAGCTCTGAGGAAGCTCTGCAGCTTTGGTGTTTGCTAGCCTTTTGCAAGAATTCCTGTCTTCTCCTCCAGTGCTTTAGAACTGAGATCACTCCAAGTTTGAATTCAAGCTAGATCTTCTAGAATCTGGGGTAGAACAAACCATCCCAAAACAGCTGTTCCATACATGTAGCAGTTTGTGCGTGAATCATTTATCAGGTTCCCATTTAAATGTCTTTATAACATGTCCACATGTGATCACTGCTCTGCTGGCTAAATTTCTTTATATCGTCCTGTTTTCTCTTACAGCTTGCACGGGTTTCTGGAGCTCCACGGTAAGAACACTTTTCTCATCTGGAGATGGAAAAAGTAATACTGGGTGAGGGGATTTTTTTTAGTCTGACAACTTTTGTATGAGAAGCTATCTTATAACAAGGGAAGTCATGTTATAAGCCATGTTGCTTTTTTCAGCCTATTAAGTGTGATTATTTTTCAGTCTTCTCTCCTTAGCCATAGAATATAGGGTATTTGGCACACCCAAAATAGGTTATCTCGTTGAGCTCTGCATGCTGTAAGATCATTATGAAGATTTAATAAAATTATGTTGCATTAGAACAACATTATAATTGTATCATCCTTGAGTACCAGGGTACGTTTCTGCAGGAGGAAGAGCTCTTTTTAAAAAGTGAATGAATGAATCTTTATTATCAAAGTATAATATGTATACAATGAGATTGACTGAGCCTCTCTCTCTGTGCCCCCCCCCACAACTCACAGTGACTACAACCCCACCAACTTATTACACTCTGTGCGCTAATTGCACAGCACACAGGCCTCACGAGTCTATCATGCATAAAATTATGTCCCATTCAAGAGCCTGGCAGCCCATAAATAAAACATAATTGGGTGTAAAGATAAAGAGAGGAAATGTTTTGCTGAAAAAAAAACTTGGAAAGAAAGGTATCCAACATCCACAGTGGAGTATCTGTAGTGTTGTTACAGAAATAGCAGTAGCACTTAGACTTACATGCCGATTCACAGTGCTTTACAGCCATTTCTAAACAGTTTACAGAGTCAGCCTCTTGGTCCCCCTTTTATTGACCTTGGAAGGAAGGAAGGCTGAATCAACCTTAAGCCAGATCGAACTGCTGGCAGGAGGCAGAATTAGCCTGCAATACTTCATTCTAACTATTTTACCACCGCGGCTCATCATATATGGAGCTGCCTTAAGGACCGTTCAGAAGGTGCAGCTAATCCAGAATGTGGATTATGTGCAGGCACTGGTGGACATGCTTTGTCATGCCTATTGTTATGCCTCTGCCTCACCACAAGTGCGCTGTTTACCTGTAGGCTTCTGAGTGCAATTCAGTGTGTTGGTTGTCTCCTTTAAACCCCTGCATCTGTCTCAACTCATTGTCGTATTTCTTGTTGATTCTAACCACTGCGCCAGTAGTTAGAATGCAGTACAGCAGGCTAATTCTGCTGACTGCCAGTTGCCAGGAGTTTGGCAGTTTGATTCTCAGCAGCTCAGGGTTCACTCAGCCTTCCACCCTTCTGAGGTCAAGGTCGGTAAAATGAGGACCCAGATTGTTGGGGGCAATAGGCAATAGGTAAACCACCTAGAGAGGGCTGTAAAGCACTCTGAAATGGTGTATGTGTCTATTGCTATTCATGGCATTATAAGGGTGGGTTATTTGTGGAACTGCCTGTCTCCAGCTATTTCTGTCCATTCAATGAGATCGGACAGAGTGGGAATGTTTTGGATCCCAACAACTAAACAACATCATCTAGCAAAACCCTGGAAAAGGGTCTTTTTTATTTGGTCATTGGCCTCTGGAATAATATCCACCTATATATGCCTCCCTGATGATATTCAAAAAGCTATTGAAGATCAGGTGGTTCTCCCAAATCTTGTATAGGTCGAATGTGGCACCCCTGTTTGAGGGTGTTTGGTTTATAGCAGGATTTCTCAATCTTGGCACCTTTAAGACAAGTGGACTTCAACTCCCAGGATTCTCAGAGTTGAAGTCCACACATCTTAAAGTTGCCAAGAAACCCAAGTTTATAAGGTTGTCTCTAGCTAATTATGAATTTTTCTCATGTTTTTGTACCGTTCTCCCTTGGGAAGGTGTCCAGAGTCATCCGTACTTGGGCATTTTTTAAATTGCCAAAATAAATATATTCAGATGAACTGAAATGACAGTTATATAGTTCTTGGTTGTAAATACAGGACAATACATACATGTAGTCTAATTTTTGAAGATTTCACGGATTTGAATTTTGTTGTTTCAATTTATGGTCTGCATTAAGGAATGTAGTAGAAAGTCTTCAAGTTGAAAATGGAGAAAAATAATGTAACCAAGTTAGTGATAGCAAATATTGTTTGTGTAAGACCTTTAAAAAAAAAAATCTACCGTAAATGCCGGCGTATAAGGCGACTTCCGCGAGCGCTGAAATCGGTGCCAAAGATGGGGGTTGTCTTATACGCCGAGTCGTCTTATACGCCAGAAATACTGGTAGTTTCCAGCATATAAGACGACGTTCTAGGAATGCAGCCCGGCTATAAAGACGGGGGTCGTCTTATACGCCGGGTCGCCTTGTACGCCGGCATTTACGGTATATATATTGCATATATTTTCTATTCTTCATTCATTCCTTATGCTGTTTGAACTATATAAAAATTTTCTTCAAGGGGGATCAGGTTAGTCAGTTATCCAAGCAGAATAGTCATCTATACAAATCTGGTTATCTTTCTTTGCCCATAACAGTCTTATCTGAATAGTTTGGTAAAACATCTCTTAATATGCTGTATTTACTAGCATTACTAAATTTAGCATTAATTAATCAAGCAAGCAATTATACAATTAAACTGCTAACAATTAAGCAATTAAAATTAATTTTCCTGGTATTGGTTAAATTAATTCACTATTAATTTAACAAGAAATTTTAACAGTAAAATTACTTGTTGAAGTAATTACAAAGGCTAATGATCCTCCACTCAACTTGGGTAGATTTAATTCTCAGAATTAACTCTAACTTTCGTGAATATTGCTATCCTTCTTGTACAATAAACAGTAGCTAAAGTGGCATTCCCTGTTAAATGGGGAAGAACGAATATTTGGGATGTCATTTAATTCAGCAAGACTTGGTTCCTATACCTAAAGGGATATGCATGCTCTTAAAAATCCAGAGACACAGTCATATTTTATTTTTTAGAGCTAGTATAATCCACCGTGTGTTTGTTTTTTTGCAAGAGTACCCAATTCCTCCCATATCTGCAGAAGAGGTTCAGTCTGGGGCCAAGGGAAGAACGTGACAACAACATGTTGAATATGCAAAGGAACCAGAGGTGCAAAATATTTTCATCCAGTCGTAGCACTGCCAATGGACAAGCACCAGACGTAATGATTCCATTAAGGGCTTGCCCTCCAGAGGTAACCAAAATGTAAAAATGCGGTGATTGTTAGTCACACATGTATGTACAACTATTTCTTTATTGATCTTTTGAAATTATGAAAAAAGTCCGGTCCTCACATTTACAATCATGGTAAACACACACACACACACACACACACACACACACACACACACACTGTTGTTACATAATTGCAATTCAGGCATTTAGTAATTGGCTTACAATTGCAACCATTTGCAGCCTCCTGTGATAGCAGTAGCACTTAGACTTATATATCGTGCTTTACAGCACACTCTGGGCAGTTTACGATGTGAGCACCCTTCCTCCAACAATCTGGGTCCTTGTTTGATCGACCTCAGAAAGACAGAAGCCTGAGTCAATCTTGAGCCGGTCACGATCGAACACCAAACTGTGGGCAGAGTTTGCCTGCAATACTGCATTCTAACCATTGTGCATGTGGTGTACCATGTGATTGTAGCTTTTGATCTTCTTGCCAGCTTCTGGTAAAAATCGCCCATTCAATGGGTTCGCACTTAACCATATAAAATGGTATAACAGTATAAAACACGGTCATAAGATTGGGTCCAACTTGTCTTATGACCGCAATGACTTACAATGGAAATTCCAGTCCCAATTATATTTGTAAGTTGAGGGCTACCTTACTAATTGCATGAATGCAATTGAGTTCTATTTATTCAGGAGGTGTGATGGCTCAGTAGTTAAAGACGCTGAGCTTGTCAGCTGGAAAGCTAACAACCCGGGTTTGAGACCCGAGTGCTGCATGACTGGGTAAGCTACCGTCACTTCCTCCAGCTCCTGCCTACTGTAGCAGTTCGAAAGGATGCAAATGCGTGTAGATACATAGGCACCACTTCAGTGGGAAGGTAACAGTGTTCCTTGCATTTCGGCATATAGTCAACGCTGGCCAAATGACCATGGAAAGTTTCTTTGGATAACATGGACTCCCTGCACTAAGAAACAGAGATAAACACCGCCCCCTGGAGTCAGACATGATTGGACAAAGGGAAACCTTTATCTTTACTTTTCTTGTTCTTTCTCATTATAGGAAGGTCAAGGATGTGCAGAAATAAGGAAGTTAGTTCCTGAAAATGGCAGGAACGCAGCAGAGAGTAAGTGCTCTTAAATCCTTGCAAGTTAATTTGGATTCTTTTTTGCCAGAATACTCCTTGAGATAGCATGTATTAGATATATAGTAACTAGAAGATTCTTCTTCGTCTTGTGCCATATCCATTATCAGACGTTGGCGACCATGTTGGGCGATCCTGTTTTTATCAGCAGCCGCACGAAAAAGTGCTGCTGAGTTTAGTCCAAACCAGTCCCTTAGATTTTGAAGCCACGATGTTCTTCTGCCTGGACCTCGTTTGCCTTCAGTCTTTCCCTGGAGGATTAAATGGAGGATGCCGTATTTTTCTGGGTGTCACATCACATGTCCGAAATATTCTAATTTTCATTTTTTAATTGTTTGGTGATTTCCCTTGGCTTTCCCAGGCGGCTGATCCCCTCCTCATTTCTGAACTTGTCAACCCAGCTTATACGTAATAGCCACCTGTAGATCCACATTTCAAATGCTTCTAGTCTCTTCAGGTGGCCTTCTGTCAGAGACCAACTCTCTACTCCATAGAGCAGGATAGAAAAAATATAGCATCTGACAAGCCTGATTTTCAGTCTTAGGCTTATGTCGTGACTGCAGAAGACCTTTTTCATTCTGAAGAATGCTGTTCGGGCTTTTTCTATCCTTGTCTTTACTTCAACGATCATGTCCCAGCTTTCATGTAAATTGGAACTGCGGTCCGTGATCCTTTCAATTTTTTCTAGTGATAGGAGCAGACAGTGTTTGCTTTTTAAACTACTAGACCCTTTTCCCGTTATTCAAAGCACCTCCTACTAGAAGTGATAAAAGCTGCCCTGTTCAATTTACAGACTGGTTTTTCTAGTTCCTATGAAATGACAAGGCTATCACTGTCAGAATCTGTTTTGGCTTGAAGATACTAGCACGAGGTTCTCTTTGGTTGCAGACCTGGCTAGTTTTGCTTGGCTGTCTCATTCTCCATGATCATCTTTACGGTTTAATTTTCATGAAGAATTTAATTTTTATCTCATTTATTTATTTGTTTGTTTTTAACTCTATTGACTTTTGAGGGGGATGGGGTTTGCATTTGCAAATGTCCCACCGAAGGCTATCGTACTTCATCCCCATTGCTGACATCCACCAACAATTCTTTCTGCAATTCTGAAAAATGTAGCTACACTTTTATAAGGACAAGCAATTGAGTTATGCCACACTTGATTCTGAAAAAGCCCTTCCAGGGTCCCCAGAGCAACCTATGGAACTGGGAAATTAGAAGCAGCTGATTAATAAGACTCCTCCTCCTCCTCCTCCTCCTCCTCCTCCTCAAATTTATCATATTCCTTTCCAGCTCTGAGTCGAGCCTTTGACAACTTCATCAACAAGGTGCCTTCAAAAGACTGGAGGAGATTCATGAGACTTCTCAACTTGACCGATAACGAAATTGACTCTGCAGCGAATTTTTCACAATATGCGAATGAGCAGCATTATCAAATGCTACGGACCTGGCTGGACAAGAATGGGCAGGCAGCCACCTTAAGTGTTCTTCTGGAGGTGCTCAATGGCATGGATTTAAAGGGCATTGCGGAAGAAGTTACAAAAGATCTCGTTGCTCAACGTTTGTATGTCTATGAAGAATAAGTTCTTAGCCAGGTGGGCCCTTCTTGAATCCAGTGTTTGTCCACCTGGCAAAGTGAGAAGGAAAAGATGTTGAGTTACCAGCTTCTTCTCACCAAGCCATATCTTGTTTACATTTTAAAATATCCCATACTAGCACAAGGCCTTCTATGCACTGCCTTTCCAAACAGGTTTTTATGTTGGCAGCTAGGGCTGTGCTGTACATTAGACTCAAAATCAAAAGATACTTTCAGAGTAGATGTGGATTATGCCAGACACAACTGTTGCCATGTCCTTACCGAAACAGTGTCCTTTTGCGGACTTTTTCAAGTCATCATTCGTAAAATACACCCTTACGTTAAGGAGGTGTCAACAGCCTGTCATGTCTGTCTCAAAGCAGTTGGCAGTACCCTGTGTTGCCTCCTTTCTTTATTCAGCCCAGGTTTTCTCAGGAAGGCACAACTGCCCTGTAAGCCCACATAAAAAAAGAGGCATTTCTTTGAAGAGGTGCCACACCAATTTGGCTCTTGAATGTTCAGAAATTATTACGCTACTGGTAAGTATTTCTATACCGGTGTTATTCTGAAGGTTGTTCCATTCTTTTCAGTACAAATGATGTCTTTCCCACGAAAATTATTTGGGCAGCCAAATTGATCTTTTTCGATTACCAATATAAAATCTGTATTTTTATTTATTTATTTTAAAAAACACACACACAATTCGTCTTGGGTAAGTTTTGATAGTTTCAGATCTTCTTTTGGATTTGACGTAAAACGAAAGATAAACGTCTTTTGTTCACGTCAAATCCAAAAGAAAAACCCGAGACTATCAGAACTTAACCTAAGACAAATTGTGTGTTTTTTTAAAAAAACAAAATAAAATACAGAATTTATATTGGGAAGCCATCTTTATACATGTTTAAAAAGTATTTGGTTTTTAAATCCTGCTGCTATTCAGTCATGAAAGGAACCTCCACAAATAAGAACAATCATTTCACTTGAAAAGATGGGCCAGCATTTGCTGTTCTGTTGACACTGTGAAGTTTTTCATAAGTTTTCTGCTGAATTTAGCTCTCCTGGATAGAGAATGCCAAATCATCAAAACTGATTTCTTGTATCTATATCTCTGGGGTGCTGGGTGTAAAGGGGAAAAATCCACCCTCCCTTAATTCAATACTGCAGAGGTCCCCAAACTATGGCCCACAGCCCAATAACAGACCATGGCCTGTTTGCAACTGGGTTACGTTGAGTGGCATGCCAGCGAGTGTACACTTGCAGCCGCACTTGCATAAGTGGCTGGCACGCACGCATGTGTGTGCCTGCCCCTCGTGCAAAACCATCCTCTCTTTCCCCCACCCCCACGCCAGGTCACCAACCTGCAAAGGTTGCAGAACGCTGCAATCCAGTATATTCAGGAGCTCTCCTTAAAAGACCTTTAAGAGAATTTCTTCTGCAAGGACTAGAAATATTTTCTCTTTTAAATTCAGTGAAAATTAAAAATCTCAAGGAACGAAATGCTATGCCCGAAGTTATTTTCCATCTCAGTTTTTAGACAAGCCATTATACATTTCTCATAAAGAAAGGATTGTTCTTAAGTGCACTTTGGAGGTCTCTAGGAATCTCTTTTCAGTACGAAGCCTGAAAAGACAGGACAGAAGGATTTTCCAACTACTTGTTTACAGTTTAATGTTAATTTATGTTCTACAGTGTGACAGAGCAGGATCCAGATCCTCACCGAGAAGATACATAATATGTTGATGAAATCAGCCGGAGTTATTTATCTTTTTAAAAATACCCTGTTAATTTGAGTTCCTAAAAAATATGTGTGTGTTTTTGTTGCCATTACACCAAAAGATCAAAGTAGCATAAAAAGAAAATGGCTGATCTTTAAAACTAAAATGTTGGGGGAAAAAAATCCACCCTAACCAAAGTACTTTAATATGAGATCCTATTTCTGATTTGCAGTAAATATGGCAAGGGTTTTATTTATGACAATTTTAAAAATAAGCTGATGAATATTTTATTTTGTAAATTATTAATCTGGAGCATGAGAAAGGGGATAGTTACCCTCATTGCACTCCGCATATTTACAAGCAATTGTTTGAGGTTGTAAATTGCGGTGCTCCATTCTCAGTGTGCCTACAAGATCCCCCTTGTAGGTTCAAAGTGGCCCCAAAGTCGTGTAGAACGCTAGCCCTCATGTGCTGCCTTCCTTTCAGTGTTGAATTCAGTTTTTGGCATCCCACATTTGATTCTGGATAAAGAATACTTTGGTTTGATAGTGAGCGGATTCGGTTTCCTCTGCTCCGTGCCTTGACACTGCTATTTGGCTAGCTTACTGTGCTTGCAGTAATCCTTGATACTGGACAAAATTTGAATGACAGTGTTAGTACAAAAGGATTTAGGTGGGGGCGGTTTCTGCCCATAATTTTCAGTATTCAACAATTTAATTCAATGAGTGTGTGTGGAAGGGAAGCAGGGAGATTACAAGGTTGGGTGGCATCTTTTCATTCTCCGAAGAACTGTCCCAACGGAGCTCCTGGGTAGACAACTGTTCTGGATGAACATCAATGTCCAGATAACTCAGTCACGACTTTACACCGTAACTTATTGTTTTGGGTTAAAATAACATTTTTTTTATCAGGATGAATTTGAATGTGTCTTACCCTGCGGCATTTCCAGAGGCCAGTAAAAATGCAAGAGTGCCAGAAGAATTCATTTTTATTTGGTATGGAATGCAGGCAATCACTGCAGCATTAAAGAGAAGAGGGTGCATATTATGATAGACCCTGAGCCAGATTTTTAAAACCTTAAGTCTTCGGCATACATTTTGCGTGTTGTCTGTGATGGAAGTCTTGATGACGAAGTCCATCTGATTAAGTTTATGTGGATTTGAAAGACCGGGTCCTATGTAAATCTTTGAAATGCAATATATTTCCATTCAATGTATTGGCTGAACCCATAAGACGACAAGCCCAGGTCTCCTTTTTTAGCAGCTGGGATCTGGATCCTGCCAGAGGTGGAACAAAAATATTGGTGCAAATAATTACTCTTCAAATTGAAGTGTGTTCCAAAGTTGTATCTATTTCTAGATATTTATGCCTACGGTATGTTTTTGTTTCTGTTTTCTCTTCTCTTTGACTACTTGATTTGAAATGTTAAACTTAAATGCATGATTATTTTAGATAGTGGAGCTGTAGGAAAAAATATTTCTTCAAGTTTGTATAAATCCTTGTTTAATTTATGGACTTGTCTTTTGCTCATTAGCAGTTGAAATGAAAACAGGTACTTGTTGATGAAGCTATGTAAAGTTCCGTTTGGAATAAATAAAACTATTATTAAAAATTACACACTGTTGTACAATCTGTTATATATGACGATGATGGCAGCAATATAGCCATCGAAAGCTAGGTTATTTATTTATTAAACTTTTAATTGTTTTACCTCCTGGTGCTCGTTTTTATCTTTTGAATATATATATATATATATATATATATATATATATATATATATATTATAGATATATGGAAGTGTCTTGGCGACGTTTCGACGAAGTCCCATTCGTCATCTTCAGGCTGGTGTCTTCAGCTTCGTGCTTCGAGGAGCACGAAGCTGAAGACACCAGCCTGAAGATGAAGAATGGGACTTCGTCGAAACGTCGCCAAGACACTTCCAATCTTACGTGGGAGAAAACCCGAATAACCAAAGACCTACATACAAACACCCGCGAAAACCTCAGAAAACATATATATATATATATATATATATATATATATATATATATATATATATATATATATATATACACACACACCTGGGGGTGTGTGAGGCTCACATGGGGTTGTTGGGCGGTGCATGGATCGTCCATATCGGGCACCCCCTCCCTTTCTTTCTCTGTGCGCGGGGAGTCCATAGCCTCTATTCCAGCATCCACATGTTGGGGTGGGAGACTCTCTCGCTGCACGATCCATGCACCGCCCAACAACCCCATGTGAGCTCACACCCCCCCAGGAGGGAGGGAGCGATATTAATGGAGCCAGAACACCTAAAAGACTTAATGCTAAAATCTCGGAGTGTACGGTTGCCCATAGCAATGAAGAGGAGCGTCCCATGTGGAGAGGGGAGAGAAAGCATAGAAGGAGTAATGAGAGTGGTTTGAGTGCCAAACAACGGGAGGGAACGTATATAAGGAAGACTGAGGTGGGGAATAAAGACTTGATTGTTGAGGCATACCATACCTGGATAGGAGCTGTTAACATGACAAAGGAAGAGAGAGATACACAATTGGGAAGGGATATTAACCTACAATTAGTGGAGCCCTATCCCCATTGTAAAACACAAGAAAACATCAGATCAAGTCCTCCAAAGACCAATAGTGGAGGGATAGGGAAGGGCATCCGAAGAAAAGAACATAACGTTATAGACACATCTTGGCTTTCAGCTGGCCAATCAGGGCCAGTAACACGGTCTAAGAGCCGTGCGCAAACGTTACTTGAACCTACTTAAACCACCTTTACTGCAATGGCCTTTTAGCCCTGACGATGCTGGGGAGTTCCCCCAGCAAAAGCTTGGCAACTTTTTAGTAATAGTATACTTTTAGTAAAGTATTTTTACTTCAACTCTCCCAGTGATTGTGTTTTATTCTTTTATTTATATATATATAAAAAAAAACCGTAAAGCAAACCGAAGAAATTATTTTTTATTGTTTTTGATATTAACTTTTCTCCCTGGTTTTCCGTATTCTCATATTTAAAAACCCTCAAGGGACCGACCTCCCAATGAGCGGGGGGTGGGAAGCTGGTGGGAATCACTAGGTGCATGGATTTACCGTACTCCTGGCTTTTTTTTAAATTGGGTGTTTGTTTTGCTCTCTGTATACTCTCTTTGAAGTCTATCTAGTATCTACATGAGTCAATCAAAAATTTCAGAATATATCAGCAGGTGAGCTTGTGTCAATCCTGAAGTCAATTCCAAGTTAGGGATATACCGTAGGGCAGGAGTCTTCAAACTTGGCAACTTTGAGACTTGTGGACTTCAACTCCCAGAATTCCTCAGCCAGGGATTTTTTTAAAAAATATTTTTAAAAATTGGACGGGATGGTTGGAAATATATTATCCCTGATGTTGTGGCAAGCGGAATTTTATGTTTATGGTTTCCCGTGCACAAATTCTAAATTCTGACCTGAATCTGGAGCACTATAACATGCCACCGTATTTGACAAGAGTTATGACCCACTCATTTTATCAGCATGGAGAAAGAAGCTTGTCTCTTGCACCCTAAAGCCTTCATAATCGAGAGCAGGGGTAGGCAACCTTGGCTCTTTTGTGACTTGTGGACTTCAACTCCTAGAATTCCTGAGCCAGCCATGCTGAGGGGAAAGGGAGAGGTTTCCAAGCTTTGTCATGATGGCTCAGTAATTCTGGGAGTTGATGTCCCTGATCCAGAGCAATGATTTAAAAATGCCAGGACATCAAATAAGCTTAACATGTCATCCTCAGATTACAACCGTTCATTTAGTGGTTGTCCAAAGTTACAACAGCACTGAAAAAAAGTGACAATATCTCTGCCTTGGCATCATCCCCAGTTATGTGATCCAAATTCGGGTGCTTGGCAATGGGCATGTGTGATGTTTGCATCATCCCAGGGTCATGTGATCACCATTTGCAACCTTCCCAAGTCAATGGGGAAAAGTCAGCTTCGCTTAATGACCTCCTGATTCACTTCACTGCAGTTGACAACCGCGACAAAAAAGGTGGCAAGATTTGAGTGCGGCTCGCTCACAACTGCCTTTCTTAGCAATGAAAATTCTGGCCTCAACCGTGGCACTATTTGTATCAGTTGGAGGAAGAACCTAGAACCGTGATGGAGAACCTATGGCACGGGTGCCAGAGGTGGCACTCAGAGCCCTCTCTGTGGGCACGCGCGCCGTTGCCCCAGTCCTAGGCCTTCAGCTGGGTTTTATAAACCCTTTTCGCTTTAGGCCTCCGCCATGTGCAAAAAAAAAAAAAAAAGGTTCAATCAATCAATTTCAACTTCTTGCAGGAAAAAAAAAGATCTCGTGAAGTTGGAATTGATTCATTGAACTTTTTAGTCCCACCCAGTCTGCCATTACCACTGCAGCCACGCCCACCCAATGGGCCACACCAACCCAATGGGCCATGCCCACCCGGCACCTGATGATACATAAGTGGGTTTTGGGTTGCAGGCAAACTCTGCCCAGAGTCTCAAGTTTGATCCTAATGGGATCAAACACATTGCGGTTTTTTTTTTTTTTTTTGTCTTCTGAGGCAGTACTTGGGGTGCTAGAACATGTCTTCTGACTTCTGCTTTAGACACAGCTATTGTAGGTAAAGCTCACAACACTAAAGCTTTAGTTATTTGAAGCAGAGTTAGAAGAGGAGCCGTGGTGGCACAGTGGTTAGAATGCAGTATTGCAGGCTGAATCTATTCACTGCCAGCAGTTCGATCCTGACTGGATCAAGGTTGACTCAGCCTTCCATCCTTCCGAGGCTGGTAAAATTATTGGGGGCAATCTGCTGATGTTATAAACTGAGAAGTGCTGTAAAGTGCTATGGGGCAGTATATAAGCTTAAATGCTATTGTTTACTATTCAGAACTACCATCTACCACAATGAGAAAGTTCAGTATCGGACAGAGTAAGACTGCTCTGGATTGTCACCCTCTCTTCTTTCTTTCCACTTCCAAGTCACAGAAAAAGTTCACAACTCTTTCTTTAAAATACCATTTATTACAACAGAATCTTCCACACTAAAATCCAAGATGTGTATTGGTTGGTGTTTCTTTTTTATTAAAACAGCACATTAACTGCTGGGGGTGTGGGGGGAGGGGTTATACTCTTTCATCCACAACACATCCTCAAGCATTATGGCCAAAATCAGGCGGCATTGTTCTCGTCTTCCCATTTTTCTCCTAATCTGGTCAGTCTTGTAGATTGTGTTGCAAACTACTGACAAAATTAAGGAAAAAAAGTGGGTGGGAACAGCTTTCCAGCCTCGCCAAGCTGGTTTTTCTATCCTACGGTCATTTTTCCCCCCCTCTTGCCCTTGAACCCCAGTGGAGGATCTGTGCTTCTCTAGGCCAGCGTCTCCTTCATAGGGGTGTGCACCTTTCAGGAACAGAGAGACCACAGCCATTTGCTGGCAGGATACATGCCTTGCTCAAAGCAAAACATCTAGAGATAAGTGCCTGGGTAGAAGTTAAGTGCAACCAAAATAAAGTGGCCCTCTTCCCATCGGGAAGGAACCCAGAAAAGGAAAAACAAAGTCCTGGGACACACAGCACCTGCAATAGCTTGAAATGTTAAGGTGCAGAGAATGGTCGATGTGACGTACGTTCATACTTTTTTTTAAAAAAAAAACAACTTTCTTTCACAAAGGGGAAAAGAAGGAAAAAATAATACAGAATGGCTCCTCCTTTCTTGGAGTAATTGTTTTCTCCCATTAAACAAACAAACAAACAAAAACACCCTCCTCCAGCATTTCTGCAAAACAAGGTCAGTCTCTCTAGATGAGTGAGCCTCTTGGAAAGAAACAGGACTGCTTTCCATTCCATCGGTGGTGGTCTCTCCGTCTGCTGTGCTTCTAGACTAGCCGAGGCAGGGATGGAGACCACCTGGAGCTCTGGATGAGTTGTTGGGTATTCTGGCTCCCGAGCTGCTCTCCTTCAGGTTTTTCTCATCAGCCTCTCAGGGGGATTCATGCTGATTTTTCTCCTCTGAGGGCCTCAGCCAGTGGTATCTCACCACGGCTTTGGAACGCCGGGCACCAGTAGGCTCACACCTTCTAAAAGCCATCGAAGCGTAGGCAGTGCAACCTTCAAACTACAGCAGAGGAAGAGGAGGAGGAAGAAGAGGAAGATGAAGCTGTGGCGGCAGATGAGGAAGGGGAAGAGGCATTCCAGAAGAGCCACCGTCTCTTTGGCTGCCGTTTCTGATGGAGGTAGTCTTCCTTCTCGCGCTCTTTCCTGGCTCTCTGGAAATGATCCTCTTCCTTCAGGTACCAAACGGGGGGCCAACGATGCTTCTCAAAGTAGTCCTGATTTTCTGAAAAGAAAAATTCAAAGAGGAATTAAAAACTTTCAGCCCCGTGCTAGAATTTGGATCTTTTTTATTTCTGAAACACTCATACAAATTTAACATTGTTGTTTTTTTAAAAAACAACAGCCGGTGCAATACAAAAAGGACCGTCCCACGGCAGTTTGCAAAGTAAAATAAAAACAGCAATGTGGTGGTATGCTCCACGCCTGTTTTCATGCCCACCCTGCATGTTTTGCAGGCTACAAGCAAGCTCTGTATATTTGCAAAATGCAATCGTAGAAAGAAAACTTAAATCGGGGTAACTGGTTTAGTTCTAAGAGCTGCCTTTCACTTTGGCAGATATTAAATTGTTAGAAGAAGCAAAAACTGGAGCAGCTTGGAGAATCGAGAACGGATGAATCCTGTTCCCTAATTGACAGGCGGCTGAGAAGCAACCATAACTTCTCTGCCTGTCCCTGTTCAGATTATTTGTCTTCCTCTGAGACTATAAAACAGATTAAAAATGAGCCGAGGTGGCGCAGCAGTTAGAGTGCAGTACTGCAGGCCACTTCAGCTGACTGTGTTCAGCAGGTCAGCGGTTCAAATCTCACCGGCTCAAGGTTGACTCAGCCTTCCAGCCTTCCGAGGTAGGTAAAATGAGGACCCAGATTGTTGGGGGCAATGTAAATATATATAGACATTGCTTACTGGTGTACACCGCTTAGAGAGTGCTTGCACTTAAAGCGGTATATAAGTCTCATAAATAAATAAATAAATATCAGACGGACCGACAGCATGCAGAGATGACAAGAATGGCCCTCCACAAAAAAGCTTGCAAAAACGATAGGATCGTCTTTTTTGACCCACCCGACTCCTGAGCCCAAAAGAAAAGTGGTGCCATCGTTCGTAAATTCACACCTACCTGCTGACATTGCTTTCATTTCCCGAGGAAACTTGCGACAGATATTGTTGTAGTTGGTGCAGATATGGTGGAGGCACCAATCGGCTAACTGGTAGGCACCATGGAACTGTGGGGAAGAGAAAAGAGAGGCTGGCATGAGTTCACCATTTGATTTGCATTTAGCCAGAAAAGGCATACAGGTTGTCCTCGACTTACAAACATACATTTCGTGACTGTTTGACGTTACAACGACCTTGAAAAAAGTGACTTATGAGCCTTTTTTTTTTTTAACACTTCATGACCTCTGCGTCATCCTCATGGTCACATGAGCAAAATTCGGAACCCTTAGCAACTGGCATGTGTTTAGACTTGTTCTGTAGACCTTTTGAGTCAAATCTTCCTTTGAAAAGGAAGAGAGAATCAGTTTGGTTTAGTGCAGAGGGTGGGCAAGTATGGCAACTTTACGACTGGTGAGCCCTGTTGGCTCAGGAATTCTGGAAGATGAAGTCCACAGAACATAAAGTTGCCACAGCAATCCTGCTTTATCATGAAAACTAGTTGGGTGACTTTGGGCCAGTCACCCTCTCTCAGCCCAATTCACCACTCAAGGTTGTTGTTGTCGGGAAATAGGAGGAGGAAGGTGTGTTGGATGTGTTGGATATGCTCACCACCTTGAACTATTTTTAAAAATAACAAAGGCGGGATATAAATACATTAAAAGGAGGATCCCATCCAAGTGAATTGCAGAAGCATCGAGCTTCACAGAACGTATCATCAGATGAGTATCAGATTATGGCCTAACAATATTCCAAAACAAGGACAACAAAATAATGCCAAAACAACTAGACACAAAGACAGTTCCCCCACCCCTCCCATGCTATCAGTCTGCTGAACACCTAATTCCCACAGCAGTGTCTTATGCCTAAAGATATTCACCCATGTAGTAGGGCTATATTGCAATTATCCTTCTAATCTTCTTCTTCTTCCATCTTTCCTACTACCTTCTCCTTTATTGCTTGTTGTTTGTATTCTATGGTTTATTATTGTTATGATTTATGATCTTACGACTTGTTTGTATGAACATTGAGAGCTTATGCATCGGAGACAAATTCCTTTTGTGTTCAATCACATTGGCCAATAAAGAATATTCCTATATTCCTATTCCTATATGACACTATTCCAAAACAAGGAGCATTTTGGATTGATTCTAAGTAAGTTGTTTGTACCTGAGCCAGCTCCAGGAACACAAGGACATCACCGTCTATATCCACTAACATCTGTGTTGCTTCCATCAAACCAGACACAGTGAACTGTTCTGGAAAAGATAAAAATATCAAACACCATCAGTTGGTTCATTACCTGGCTCCCAAAGATAAGATTTAGATTTCTGTCTTGCCAATAACAAACCAATTAAATTATTGGTGGGCTAAAATTAATAATCTGGGAACTGGTATCATCTATTGCATTTTTTTAAAACAGTCCTGTTCCCTGAAAGCTGAGATTAATAAAAAGCCAAACATAAACTTGACACACATAGAGCATGTCCAAAGTGGACAATCAAAAATAAATGCCATGCTTATTTCCTATAGTTGGCATTTGTTTCTTTCCAATGTTTGGCATTTGAAATGATCCATCATTTATAAACGGGGAAGGAAAAGTGCAGCAAATTACCTGTGAGTGCAACCAGGTGTGGCAGACACAAGCGGTTGGCCAAGATGATGAGTTTCATGTAATCAAGGTCTGAAGAAGAATAAAACTGGCCAGTATATAGGTACTCAAGCACTGCTCGCATGCAACTCTTACTGGTGTATGGTAGCACTACCTGCAATGGTGAGGATACCAAGGGGTTAAATTTGTACCATTTTCAGATGGAAAATAAAGTAAAATCTCCACATTTTCTTCAACCATACTGAGCCCATTTTATACCCTTCTCCAGCTGCTGCGCTCTTTCAAAGCAGCATTCCAAACATTCGGTGCATTTTGCGCAGAAAACATCAGCACTAACGTTGGTTGAAACAAGGGAACATGGCTGTGTACAAAAAGTTCACTCAGGAACACGAATGTAACTACATGAAGTTACATAAAAGAGAGAGAGAGAGAGAATCGGGTGGCTAAAAACCAGGAGAGTGTGAGTTTTAGTCTCACATTAGGCATGAAATTCAGCTGAGTGACTTTGGGCCAGCAACCAAGAGATGGTGAGTTCTAGTCCTGTCTTAGGCATGCAAGCCGGCTGGGTGACTTTGGGGCTGGTGATTCTTAGCCCCCAACTCACCTCACAGGGTAGTAATGGTTGTGGGGAGAAAAATGGAGAAGGAGGAGGAGGAGGAAATTATGTGTTGTATGTTCGCCATCTTGAGTTATTTATGAAGCAAAAAAGGTGGGATAAAATAAGTAATAAAATAAAATATAAAATAAAATAAAAAATAAAATAATAAAATGAAATGAAATAATGAAGTGGAGTGAAGTAAAGTAAAGTAAAGTAAAGTAAAGTAAAATAGTAAAGTAAAGTAAGGTAAGGTAAGGTAAGGTAAGGTAAAGTAAAGTAAAGTAAAGTAAAGTAAAGTAAAGTAAAGTAAATAATAAAATAAAATAAAATAAAATAAAATAAAATAAAATAAATATAATATAAAAAATAATAAAATAAAATAAAAATAAATAAATTTCTCAATCCATGCTCAAGATTGCCTCACCTCCTGAGTTGAGCTCTCAACGAAAGGACCCCCAAACATGGCAGCCATCCAGTCGCAACTGGAGATCAGCAAGGGTTTGTGAGCACTGATAGCACCGTCATCCAGTATAAAAGTGACATCTGCGAAAGAGGAGAACATGCTAAGCACATTTGTTAAGTAATAGTTACGCATCCCTGTCACGCTGGAAACCGAGGTGCAGATTATGCCTATGTCAAAAAAAAAAAAAACCTTGCCAAGCCTGGCTTAATAATATGGCACAGATAAGATTTGTCCCTCCAAGTATGACTAGCCGAAATTTCTGCAGGCTGCAGTTTGCCAGCCTTGAAAGTTTAGGTGAGTAAACCAACAACCATTAAGACAAACACACTGTGGTGACAGCGTTATACCCCAATTTAAACTAGATTTGTGCTCCCTCTATCAACTCTTTATGATTTAGGATGTCATGCAGCCTAGTCCGAGAGTGCTACACCCACTTCATTCTTTTACACCAAGACAGGCAACCTGGCACTCAAGCCAAAACCAACGAAGTCTTTGATTTATGACCAGAGTTGAGCCCAAAATCTCAACCACTAAGTGAGTTCTGCCTCATTTTACAACCATGGAAATCATAAGGACCAATGGCTATTAGCCTTGATGGCTATGTAGCTTCCTTGCCCAGTTGGGTGGCCACTGTGAGAACAGACTGTGGAACCAGAAGATCCGGAGATCCTTTTCAACAGGGCACCGCTAATGTCTTATATTCTTACCCTAAAGCAGGGGTCTTCAAACTTGGCGACATCAAGACTTGTGGACTTCAACTCCCAGAATTCCTCAGCCAGCCCTGGCTGGCTGAGGAATTCTGGGAGTTGAAGTCCACAAGTCTTAAAGTGGCCAAGTTTGAAAAGCCCTGCCCTAAAGTATCCCAAAAGTGCTTTCATTTTAAAGTCAACTGAACTTTCTGAAACTTAAAGACAACTTTTTTCTCCTTTTGCTTCTCGTTCAAGAAGCTTCTTCAGATCTAACCAACTGGTTACCATCTACCACAGAGGTCCCCAACCTTTTGGGCACCAGGGACCGGTTAAGTGGAGAGAGGTTTTTCCACGGACTGGGGTTTGTATGTGTGGTTTTGTGTGCTGCCTGCATCCTGCAGATGGGTCTTTGCTGGTTTGTGTGGATCGGTTGTTGGCATGCCACGGCTTGGTACCGGTCCACGGACCGGGGGTTGGGGACCTCTGATCTACCAACTAGCTGTTTAGAACTGAAGAAGCTTCTTGAATGAGAAGTAAAACATCTTAAAGAAATCAAAAAATCCAGTTGCCTTTAAAATAAAAGCACCTTTGGGACACCATGACTGGGATGAATGAGAAGCTCCACAGATGTTTACCCTAAAATAGTGTTTGTCAACCTTGCCAACTTTAAACTACGTAAGGCTTCAACTTGCTGGCTGAGGAATTCTGGGGATTGAAATCCACGTATCTCAAAATTGCAAAGCTGAGAAACCCTGTCCTAAAGGCATAACCCAAAGGGTATTGCCTATCGGTTTTATGTTTGTTCCACCCACAACAGGAACAGGCACAACAATCAGGATGATCACATTTGGCAACAGCTGGATACATAGAATAAAAATAGCAGGACACTGCATGCTGCCAAATAATTTTATGAACTCCAGGTGCCCCTTTAATACTACTATTAAACTGCTGTTAAACCAGCACTTGCAGAGATGCCTGGGGCAGGGAAGCAGCTGGTCCTCTGGGGTGGCAGCAGGTAGAAGGGCCACTGGATACTCATGTACCGATTGAGGTGGTAAACCTTATCCAAACTCTCCCGCTTGAAGACTGGATTCCAACCTCACGTTGGAACCACTGCCTCTGTGCCTAGGTGAACCAGATGTAAAAGAATGGAATGGCAGAACTGGGTGTGGGATGAAAAGGGGGAATCAGCCTAGAATTTCTACGTATTCACAAGAGAATGAAGTCCAACTCCTTTGGAGTGCCATTGACCCTTATCTAACTCTAAGCTGGTGCCAAACCTTAGTTGAGAAGTTTCCGGTGCATAGGCTTTTAGCACTAAACCAGTTTAATTGAACCGTCATGGATGGACCCGGTCTTTTGTGCCTGATACCAGAATAGCAAAGCGGAAGACTTTAAAGTAATTGTGTCCCTAGCAAGCAAGATGTTTTAAATGCGGGATATGTTTTCACAAAGGAACATGCAGAATGTTGGTACACAGAAAAGGCAGATTTGGCAGTCGTGTTTCCCCATAAGCAGCCAAGTTCATTTTTGTGGGGGGGGAGCACCAATCACCAATGCAGGCACGTAGACGAAACAACAGAATCCAAAATGTCTGTTAGCTTATTTGACCTCACTTGGCCTGTTAACTCAATAGACAGTTGTTAAGACAGCTTCTGTACAACATTCATGCCCAGAATAAGGTAGGTGTCCCCTGACAACAATGATTAGTAGATTGTAGGATCTGATCTGAGTCAGTCACTGGGACCAAAGGTTTATTCTTTCAAGCTTTTGGGCTCATGCTGGCGCCCATCCTCAGGAAACTTAGAAGCCTAGGAAGTGAGCACAAGGAATCAAGTAATGACTTAATAGCTGGCCATCAACTCCCTAATTAACAAAGCCACACATAATCAGACACCATATAAATACAATGTGTAGAACAGCCCAGTGCACACATCCTGGAGGAAGAGGGAGAGAGGGAGAAAGAGAGAGAGGGAGAGGGAGAGGGAGAGGGAGAGAGAGAGAGAGGAGAAAGAAAGAGAGAGAGAGAGAGAGAGAGAGAGAGAGAGAGAGAGAGAGAAGAGAGAGAGGAGAAAGAGAGGAGAGAGAAAGAGAGAGGAGAGAGAGTAGAGAGAAGGAGAGAGAGATAGGAGAAAGAGAGAGAGAGGAGAAAAAGAGAGAGAGAGAGAGAGAGAGAGAGAGAGAGAGAGAGAGAGAGAGAGAGAGAGAGAGAGAGAGAGAGAGAGAGAGAGAGAAGATGTTCCCCAGCACAAGCCTGAAAGAATAAACTTTTGGTCCTGGTGACTCAAATTGGATGTTGCAACATTATCCTGGGACACATATATTTGCTTTCATTCGTCAGTAGATTGTCCTGCTGGGAGCTCAAAACTATGTCTCACTACAATTAGACTCCTGGTTTTAGAGCACTGCTTTTGAACCTACCAGAGAAAGTCCCCTTGGCCAGACACTCTTTCACCCGATTGGTTCTCCTGACATGGAAGGCTTTGGTGATCTCCTGGTTCATGAATGCCTCGTTATTGAGGATGTTAGCCACCATCATCCTGAGGTCGAAGACTTCAAGCAGTTCAGCAATGTGAGCAATATGCATGAGATCTCTCTCGTTCTCATCCAACTCCCCGGTGTAAAGGTATTTTAGCACGGCCCTGAATGGTCCCAGCTGGATGGAGGGATCCATCTTCACTACCACCATTAGCCGAGGCTTGTAGGTCATGGGGTCATCTGCCATCTCCTCCTGGATGCTGACAAAGGCACGGCTCCAAGAGGAGAGGATCCTCCCTCTCTTTAGCCCTCGTTCCCCGTAGTTCTTGCCCCGCAAAATCCCATCGCTGGTGGAGGCTCTAAGGCACGGTTTTTGCTGGCCGGAACCAGCTTCTTCTGTACTCTCACAGATGTCAAAGCTAGCAGCCCTCAGGAGGAATTCCCGCCCGTGATGGTGGCGTTCCTGAGGAGCCGCTCGCTCCGCAGCACCCATCCTGATGCCGCCTCCCGCCATCTCCTCTTGGTGCTCCTCGTTCAGATCCATCAGGAACAAGTCGTAGAACTTAGAGGAGGCGGTAGAGAGGTAGATCTTGTGCGCGTAGATTTTGATTCTCTCTTGCAGTACCAGGATAACGTCTGCGCACAAAGGGTCCTCCAGCAAGTGGGCTGGACGCTCTTCATTGTTGGAAGGAGGGTTGGACACAACAATGATGGGGGGCGGAGGCTTGGGAGGCAAAAAAGGGGCCTGCAGCAAAGGTCTCTGAACATTACGGAGGTGGGACTTCCAGAACTGGAGATGCCGGCGGGAGATGAGGGCAGCTCGGATGGCATTGTCGAAGACATCCTTGATGCCAAATTGGGCTACTACACTGGTCTCGTAATAAGGGATGCCCAGCTCTTTGGCCACCTCTCGTCCTTTCTCTGGAGGCAGAATTTCATTTGGTTTGATTGGCCTGGAAGAAAAAGAAAATAGCAACAGGTCTGATGTTAGCTGAGCAACCAAAACTCAAAATTACGGGGGGGGGGGGGAAGAGTGATTATCTAATTGGAAAAACAACAATTCATCCCCCCAAAATATACTACTATTGATCAGGCTAAGAATACAGTTCAGACTAATATTAGATAATCAGTAACACTAAGAATGAGATTGTCTACAGAAAGTCTAAAGCGGGGGTCCTCAACCTTGGCAACTTTAAGACTTGTGGACTTCAACTCCCAGAATTCCTCAGCCAGTTTTGCTGGATGAGTAATTCTGGCAGTTGAAGTCCACAAGTCTTAAAGCTGCCAAGGTTGAGGACCCCTGGTCTAAAGAATTACATTCTACCTTGAAAACCCTGACCCTTCAACTTTTTCCCATTTTCTCCTCCAACCCCAACATGGAGGTCATGTGACCGTGGGACATTGCCAAGGGCCATAAAGGTGAGCCTGTCACCAAGGGTCCAAAACGTGATCACATGACCATGGGGAGGGAGAGCGACTGTTGTAACTTCGGAAATAGACCATAAGTAAGTAGCTTTGTCATTAATTTCAACCCCATGGACTTCCTGTTCAGTTTCCCCCACCAAGGAAACTAAACGAAATTATCTTACCTGGCTAAAGGTCGCCTGGCTCTATTCACTGCTTCTAGGTCAGCATAGCGAAGGTCAAGCTGGCAGCCCACCAAGATGACCGGTGCTCTGGGACAGAAATGCTTAATCTCGGGATACCACATGGTCTTCACATGGTGGAGGGAGTTGGGATTAGCAATGGAAAAACATAATACTACGACATCGGATCTGTAGGAAGAAAGGAAGCAAGAATCAGTGATCAAGGACGTAGGTGTGTAAGAACTAGCCTTGAATGATTTTTGATTTTACTTATTATTTTTTGTCTCTCAAGGTCTCGTAATTCTCCTGGCAACATCCATTTTACCAAATCTTTTTTCTTGTCCTCAAACTTATTTTGCAATCTTAAAGGGTAGTTTGTCTTTTCCATGTCCAGAGTTCCCTGTAAATTTTTTTCCATCTGGGTTAAGCCATATTTCCTAGTATTATTAAATTCCATCTTGAAACCTTTCTCCTCTGTCTCTTAATCAGTTGTCTGTTTTCTCTGCTCTCTCTTTATTTTTATTTTCTGAGAATTTTTATGTTGTAAAGTTAAATTAGAGATGTGCTCATGTCAGCCTCCTGGGCTTGACAGCTCATTTATGTTTTCAAGGTTATGTTTAATTTCCTTGTGGTTTGAGATCATTGTTATTTGGATTAGTTGCAACATAGCATAGATCTCCTTCTGGAAAGTATTTTTTTTTTCTTGGTATATTCCTTCTGCAGATCTCTGGTTTTCCATGGTTATTATTTGCAGAAACATGAGAAAAATGTTTATATTTAATTATCCTCTATTTAAATAAGAACTGTATTAATTTAAGGTTGGCCACAGAGAATATTATTGGAAGAAGAGGAAATCAAGTCATTATATGGAGTATAGAATTATAGAAATTAATTGTTATTGTTTTTTAAAAACTAACCCAGACAACACGATGTTTATCAAATATTAAGGTTTATGTTAAAAATCAATAAAACATATTTTTTTTGAAAAAAGAATTTGCCTTGAATGATGGCCTATGAACCCCCTCCTCACAATATATGTAGTAAGGGTGCACATTTGACCAGCGTTTTGGAACCAACCCTGATTGCTTTTCAAATTCTCCTTATTTCCTCTGCCTTAACCATACTATTAGAATTAGTATAATAAAAGCAAAATGCCCTTTGAAATCTCAAGAGATGCGTTTAGAGAGAGAATCAGTGGGCAGAGCAAGACCATTTTCTCCACCTGTATCTTCCAGACAGGTGGACCTCATCTTCCAGAATTCCTTGATATTGACCATCGCTATTTCTTGCAACGCTTGAATTTCACAGTGAATTTCTCTGCGGCATGAAGAAGTCTGTCTTAAGAGTCCTACAGAAGTTCTACACCTGTTTTCAGGGCCTACCTTCCATAAGCGAAACGCCTGTCTTTGTGATGGTCCCCAAAGGTATCCCAAAGCCGTAAGGAAACGCTAACATCATCTACAACATCCCGGGAGCGTTCCAGTACCTGAGAAAAAGAAAAGAAAAGATTATCTTCAGACCAAAAGGACGATTAGTGAGGCAGTGGTGCTGAAGGTCCCAGACTAGGAATGTGGAGACCCAAATTCTAATCTCCTTTCAGTCAGAGAAGCTCTCATTCAATCCCAGAGTCAAACTGGTGCAGTGACAAAGGTGACGCCTGAGAATAAGAAGAATAAGGTTCAGGTCTCTCTGGATGACTTTGAGGATGATGGATTGGGCAGACCCAGATTCTAGTCCCCCTTGCCCATACAAGCTCTTTGGAGCTCTTTAAGTCTCTGTTTCAGCCCAACTTTGCAGGATTGTGGTTGTGGGGGAAAAGAACAGGGACCCCTGTGTATGCCACCTTGAGCATCTTTACAAAAGATGGGAGGTATATGTAACACATAAACAATTTCCTCTCAGTTTTTCAACCTACGAATCAGCAATATGGCTTTCGGGAAAAGAAACTAAGAAACATCTTCATTTTTTTTTTCCTCCTGGAAATTTTGATCCGAGACCAAAACTAATTGCTTGATTAAGGAAAAATAAATGCAAGCATTTTCACCAGACCCAAATCAGAACAACTCTGGAAAAATCATGAAAACACATCAGTATTTATTACTAGAACATGATGCATCGTTGTAGTTTTAGACTATGAACAGACCCTCTTTAATGCTTGAGATGATGGGGAATAAAGGAGACCTTTTATAAACTTTTTTGGTTTGTTTTGATGAGGAGCGTCTCAAAACTGCAGTATGGAGAATAAAAACACCCTAGTAGTAGAGAGTGGTCCAGATTTGTTGAATAGTATAGAAAAGGTTCTCGTTTTTTCCCCAAGCGTGCAGTTTATTTTCCAAAACTCTATGCACCACTCTTTTATTGTTTTACACACACACATAACAGTGCCTTCATTTTTTTTAAAGAGTTTGTCGTAAGAATGAAGTTTAATGTAGAATTTCAGGGAGTTGTATAAGTCAAAGGCAACTTAAAGTTCAGGTGACCCACAGCACTTTTAGAGTCCCAAAGGAAGTTTTTTTTTTATTACCCTATCACTTCTCCCCTTAATATACCCACCAATGAAAATGCAACTCACCTCCTGGCAAACACGGTACTGATCAATAGCCCAGACGGTGGGCACATGGGTAGCGAGGAGCTGATACTGAGTCAGTGTGGCATTACATGCGCGGGCACAAATAAGCCGAGTCTTGCCCACTGCGTTGTCCCCAACCACAACACACTTGATGGTTTCTACGTTTGGCCTTTCATAATCCATGTCAGAATCCATTAATTGGGACCTGTATCAAGAGAGATGGAAAAGACAAGAGAAAAGGTGCATCAGACAGGTGTTTCCCCCCCCCTCCAGTTGGTGCTCCAGAACATCGTCCAGAGCAGGCCACACCACAATGGAAGCAATCAATAACAGTAATCCTACTTCAATGGGATCTGCTGCCAGGGCTAGGCGGTGATGCTTAGATTTGGCCTTTGCAAATGACCACACACATACACACAGGCATGCCAATAGGCCATCAACAGGCCACCCAAGTTGCAGAAGACTTGGCTGGTTGTTCTCCTCCAGACTGAGAGAATCTTCACCAGGTCTCAGAAAAGAACACAGAAGAGCCCTGGGAACTTGGCCAATGCCTCGCCCCGACCCAGCATGCATTCCAGCCATTGTCCCTTTAAAAATTAATAAGCGTTTCAGAGCATGCCTCAGTGCAGCTTCTGACAAGATACATATCCTGGCAATTTGGTTCCAATCGCCTTCCCTTCTTGTTGATTTCTACACTGGTCCTGTAAGCCTCTCGTCCCAATCTCACCTCCACCAAACCTGTCCTCCATCCAATACTGGTCAAGAAACCTACCTGAGCAGCCACAGCCTGACCCATTCCTCTGTCCACAGCTCCCCCATCCACCCCACCCTTTCTTCTTCTCTTTCTCACGTACACACATCCAAATGCATCGGCAGCCTCTGGGACTTAATAATTAAAGAAGAGGCCATAATGCAGGCTGCGGGCTGCTTATTTAGCAAAAGGAACCACGGACACTTTGGGATAATGGAATTTACAGCCCAGTTGCTGCTGACTCAGAATAAATCAAAGGCCTAGTTAGCTCCCTGTTTGTTTGTTGTTGTTGTTTAAAAAAAACCCAAAACCAAAAAAGAACTTGTTATAATAAGAGTGTCACCACAGGCCTCTGAATGGGAAAACTCAATGCCTGGTTAGAAAGAAGCTGCTGGAAGAAAGGGTGGATTCAATGTGGTTGAACATTTGCCCTCAAGCGAAATTGACAGAAGTTTGCCTCTTCTTTATCTTCTATACTGGGATTTGGATCAAGTCATACGAGCAACTCAGCTGCTTGTGATCTAATCTAAGCGTAGGAGTTTGGGAAGGAAGTTAACTTAACTCAAAAGTCTTGAGGCAAAGATGGCTTCCAAGTTTCCCATTTCTCCCTACTTCTCTGTTCCATGTGAGCTTTACATCGTTCAAGGTGACGAATGGAATAGAGTAAAAGAATAATGAAGTTGGAAGGGATGTTGGAGGTCTTCTAGTAGTCCAACACCCTGCTCAACCAGGAGACCCTATTTCTGGACAAATGACTGTCCAATCTCTTCTTAAAAACCTTCAGTGATGGAGCATCTACAACTCCTGAAGATGAACTGTTCCACTGATTAATTGTCCTCATTTGATAAACTTGCATCTGTTGCTTTTTGTCAGGTACTTTGGAGAATAAGTCAACACCCACTACTCTATGACAGCTCTCAAATATTGGAAAACTACTATCACGTCACCCCAGCCCTTCTCTTCATTAGACTAGACCAGGAGTCTTCAAACTTGGCTCTTTTATGACTTGGGGACTTCAACTCCCAGAATTCCTCAGCCAGCGTGCCTGGCTGAGGAATTCTGGGAGTTGAAGTCCACAACTCATAAAAGGGCCAAGTTTGAAGACCCCTGAACTAGACATACCTAGTTCCCACAACCACTGATTTTATGCTTTAGCCTCCAGACCCCTTATCATCTGTGCTGCTCTTCTATAATCCTTATCACAACCATTTCAGCAAGTGTTAAAGATCTTATGGCTGCCTGCACATAACATGCTAAGCTTGCTTCATTTTACATTTAGCAAAGGGCTTCTTGGTTGAACTCAATAGGCTTATGAACTCAACAGATTTACAATTCAAAATTTGAGGGGGTTTAATCATAAATGAAAAAAAGGTCAATTCAATAACCCAGTTAAGCATTTTATGCAAATCCACTCAGGTCACACTCCTTACCAGCACGGAAATTAAACTATACTCAGTCAGGGCTATTCATGGAAGTTGTATAATATAGAATATTCGTGTGAACAAAGCAATATAGGCTGAGTCCTGAGAAAATTTTATAATAAAAGAACAAATTTGTTGAAAGTCTCTCAAATAAATATGCAATGACGGAAATGACAAAGAAGCCCACTATGATGGGGGTATAAAATAACTTCCTTATCGTTAGAAAATGTATCCAGTGGATTAAAGAAAAACAAAACAAAAGAATTACGCAGGGAAAAAAAATCTTCAGTTCCTCAGCGCACGGGTTTTTAAAAGCTGAGTGTGATTCATTCATCCCAAAATAGGTCTAAAGTGTCAGGTATCTACTGATTTTACAAAAATGGGTTTTGCGGTAAAAACAAGACCACACAATTTGAGGCAAAATAAAGTGTATTATTAGCCTTCTTCTTTGTTGTTCCCAAAACATGACATAGACAGCCAAAAGAGACTTTGATAAGAATAACAGTTTCTTGAAAAAAAATTAAGAGATTTTGAGACTACAATTCTATTTATGTTTTCTTAAGAAGAGCAATAGCACTTAGACGTATATACCACTTCACAGTGCTTTACAGCCCTCTCTAAGCAGTTTACAGAGTCAGCATATTGCCCCCAATCATATATAGCATACATCTCAGCTTAACAGGTAACATTGCCCCAAAGCAATTTAAACCTATTTCTATAGGATTTCACATTGGTTTACACAACCCAACTTCTCTAGGAAGCAGTGGGAGGATGAGGGAGTAAGTGTAATTCTAATACTCAATATAAAGTACAGCATAATCTATAGAAGTAGAACCATTAAAAACCAAGTTTAAATTCCCACTGAGCCAGATTGCCAGGTAATTTTAGGCTACAATACATGATTCATCTAGTACATACTACTTAAAATACAGTTTATGTGACCACAATGTACTGAATAAACCACAAGTCTATAAAGCAAAATATATAACCCCACCATGGATGGGTTCACAAAATATCCTAAGCCAGAACTGAACAAGCCAGGTGGTGTGAACCCAGACAATTCAACCTACTCTACCTCTCAGATTTATTCCGAGGATGAAATAGGGGAGAGTAGAACAGCATGCCTACAATCCTGAGTAAATATACCTAAATATACCGTATACAACAGAGGGACCATTAAGAACCATTTGCTGCATTAAGCATTCATTCGGGGGGAGGGGCAAAAAACAAGTAATCACTTTGATGGAATGGTTAAAGCATCAGGCTAGGAACCTGGGATGGTGAGGTATAGTCCCAGCTTAGGTACAAACCCAGCTGGATAACCTTGGGCCAGTCACGCTCTCTCAGCCCTGCAGGGACTTGTCCAGGTAGGCACCGGGAATCAAGACAGATTCAAAGGCGCAAAAGAGGAAAGTTGGAACCCACAAATAATTCATATCTAGGGGACGAACAAAACATGAAATTTTTGTACAGCAGGTTATCATGATTTCATAGTGGCATGGTGGATGCCTGTATCGGTCCAAAACCCTTGGTAGACCTTGGTTCCAAAATTTCCTTTTTAGCACTGAGGCTAAAGGAAAGCTCCTTTTGGCCCAAGTAACAGAACCAAGTTTGTTCCTCCTCTATGAAAATTATTACATGGTGTTGCAAGAGTTAAGAAGAACTTGTTCCAAAGGTGCAAAATGCAGAGACATCAGGGATGGAAACAAGAAGGGGTGGGTGCATCAAGCTATTTTCCAAAGCACCTGAAGACAGGACAAGAAGCACTGGATGGAAAGTAATCAAGAAGAGAAGCAACCTAGAACTAAGGAGAAATTTCCTAACAGAACAATTAACCAGTGGAACGGCTTGCCTTCAGAGGTTGTGAAGTGCTCCATTCTCTGGAGGCTTTTAAGTAGAAACTGGACAGCCATTTGACTGAAAGGGTATATGGCAGTGGTGGCGAACCTATGGCACGGGTGCCAGAGGAGGCACTCGGAGCCCTCTCTGTGGGCACACATGCCATTGCCCCAGCCTTGCCTCCCCCACGACCCCCTCCTCTCCAGCAGCCCCCTTGAAGGAGAGTCGCCCCCGAGTGTGGCCCACACGGAGCAGCGCAGCCGAGGACATGGCAGCCAGGCAGCGTAGACAAGACTCTGCCCTCACACCCCATCATGCAGTTGATGCTGCAGGACACGGGCAGAGGGCATGGCTGCCATAACGCTGCTGAGCTACCTGGGCAATCTGTGGCGGGCCCTGGAGGCGGTGAGTGGTCCTGTGGGCAGGCAGGAAGGCAGGGGTTGGAGTGGGGGCAGTTTTTGGGCACTCGGTCTCTAAAAGGTTCGCCATCACTGGTATAGGGTCTCCGGCTTGGACAGGGGATTGGACTAGAAGACCTCCAAGACCCCTTCTTCCAACTCTGTTCTTCTATTCTACTTATGTTGTTGGAAAGAAAACATACGGAAGAAGATTGCCAGGTGGAATTCTGCCAGCAGCATCAACAGGGCTGGCTCAGAAGACTGTCTCAGTCAGTGCTATTTAACAAGGGACAATCAGCTCTCTGGACAGACAAAAGCTACCAGCTCTGGACCATCACCGCATCACGTATTCTTTCTTTCCATATACATATATAAAACCTCTTGGGATTACAGAGAGGACAAATAATCAGGGCCAACCTTCTTCTCTTCTCTTTCAACCCGTTTGAGTGTCTATTTTAGTAGCTCTTTTGTCCCAATTCATGATCTTCTTTGTTCGTCCAGGTCTGTAATCATGGCACCCAGATGCTCCAGTCCCCCGCTGGGCTCACCTTAACCTTAACCCTTCTCCCTTTCAGACTCAGTTTTCTGGCTTGCTGCTCTTGTTTGCTCCTTCTCTGTAATTCCAGCATCTGTCCCTGCTCATCACTCCCTGCTCCCTCGTGACGTCCTCAGCGCTCTGCTTACTAGAATTCCAGCCCTCCAATCTGCCTTGGCTATCTCTACCTCTTAAAGAGAAAAGTCCCATGTTCCCACGAGCTGCTGCCTCGGTCTTCTGTTGCCAAGGAGACCAGAGAAT